AACGGAGACAGAGGGGAGATGCTTCCCAAATCAGAGTCTCGAAAGAGGTACAGAGAGCATACATTATATACCCTACGTCATAACATGTTGTCTGGATACAAAGTAAATTCATTTCCCCATTATTCTTTGTTCTATTTGTTAGTTTGCAGAAAACTCTTTATTTATCCAGAGACTCCCCTTTCTAATGTGTCTGTTGATTATCTCTGGATTATTCACATCCGCTCTATGTTTCTCAACTATTAGTAATTTATAATGCAATTTGCTACTTTTATAGAGGCTTCACCTGGATTCCAACCGGTCCCAGGCTCCAAAGACACTTCGCATTTACCCTCTTTGACCTCCAGTCATCCTGTCCCAGGAGTTCACACAGGGTTCTCCATACCTCCCCACTCCCTCCTGCACAGGAAGTACAACATGGCTGCAGATTTCAGGCTAAGTGGTTAGCCTAAGTGTTGAGAGAGAGTATGTTTCAGGTAACAGTTTTTCCCTTTCAAAGGAATCTTCTTATTAAAAGCAGATTCCTCTTGATTTGGGAAATAAGACAACAGAATATTGGCAGTATGTCCCTTGTTATGACAGGGTTGGAGCATGGGAAGAGCATTTACGCAGAGTAGCTCCAAAGTTGAGAATGGCAGGGAGACATTTGCAGCAGCAACAAATAAGAGTAAGTAGAGTAGTACATGAGAGAAGAAAGCTTACGAGTTTTTGTACCCATCCCCAACAGGAAAACCACGAAAACAGTGATCCAAAACCATTTCTACCTGTGAAAACATTATTGAGAGCTGGCTGCAATTTATCAAGTTTCTTGATGTAATTCTCCAGAGATACAGTTTTGTCCTCAACAAAAGAACAATACTCTGCATTTATGAGGGTACAAACACCGCCTTGGCTGGCCCATCTATTTTGAATAGAGAGTTGGTGGAATTCTGCCAACTCCTGTTTGATATCGGAGAGTGCCCCAGTTGTTTCATTCAAGAACACTGACAGTACAGATGCTAATAGCACAATGTCCTGATGGTTGGAAAAGGCCCCAATGGGGGTAAGAAGGCCTCTCAGAATGGAGCTAAACTGACCCAATTTGGCTAAAGTTTCCACAGCCTCTTGGTCTGCAGTTCTTTTATTACGGAGATGCCCCTGGGGTAACTCCTTGGTAATCCGAAGGTTGGGAACAATGTGTCCAATACAACATATGCCCTGTCCTTCCCGAGAAAAGCTCGAGAAAGCCTTCTGGCCGCAAACCCAGTATGTGCCTGGAGGAGGGGACCATGTGAGGAAGGCAATGTGTAGTGCTACCCAGCTACCACTATATCCATATCGCAGAACAGTTTCCAGTGACCCTTTGATTAACAGTTCCCCAGTATGGTTCAGGAGCTGTCAAGTGTCCTTGAAGCGTATCAGAAGGGCTAAGCATTGGCTTACGCCCAAGTGTTGTCCTGAACCAAATTTTCTCACACACACCAGTCCTGTACTTTGCTCTGCAAGTTGAAAATAGGAATCAGCAGTGAAAAAGTGGGGGTTTTGGGCTTCAGCAGTGCTGTTGTAATTTTTCTAGTCAACTGGAGTCCCCAGTAGGGGAATCCCGCTTTGGTGATTAAGTGGAACATGAGAACAAATGTAGCAGGCGCCACTGGTGACTTTTGCTACTGAATTAAGCAGGCGTACATGGAGATTTGTTTCCCATGAACCTGCATCCTTGTCCTCTATCCACAGATCTGCCCCCTCCACAACCCTCTGTACTGGAGTGGTACAAATCCAATTTTGAGTTAAATGTAAAATGGGCTTACCAGAACCTCGTGAGGGGTCCAAACATACGATGCTTCCTGGTTTGTAATATAATCCATGCCGGGTCTTCACTAATGCTATAAGGATGGGCAAAATGTCCCCACAGACAGGAGACAAAGATTCTGAGGGCCAATATTCCAGTACAGAAAGTTTTTCTATAGGGAATGTTACCAACTTTTTGTTACATGGACAAGTAGAAAATGTGGGCAGCACAGTAGAATCTACATCAGCTTTGGTTACATAGAACAGAAGGAAACAATATAGAAGTTGAGAATAAGTGGTTACTAACGGCATTTTTTTTCTTCAGAACTATTTTCTATGTATAACACTTTTACTATCTAACTCAGGGTTAGGCAATTAATTTTCCTATGGGGCCACATGAGAAACTTTGACAGTTGTTAAGGGCCGGACCAATACACTTACAGCTCTGCTCAATATATATCTCTATAAAAAAGGTAAATGAAACATTACAATGATACAATGAAAATGTGGAGCACAGAACAACACTATTTAATGAATATTCACAAAAAAAGCAGTGCAGTTGTATTGCTTGCATCTATATTACGACGATATACATTTGCATTGACTTTTAATTTGCCAGTGACCTCATGCGGGCCAGTCAGGGTCAGCCATCAGGCCGGATGTGGCCCGCGGGCCGTACAATGCCCAGGTCTGATCTAACTGAACAAAGAGTTTGTTTATGGAACTGTTGTCTGGGCTAGAGTTCAAGCCCTATTTGTGAGAAGCCAATTGTCCTCAGGCTACACCTCCAGCAGCCACCTTGGTTAGATTTGCACGTCTGCTGCTCGTCCTGGTCTGGGCGCTGTGGTCCTACCTCTTAGAGCCGGTGTTTGAACAGGAATTTCAAGTCTTCCACTGGCTCCACAGTCCACGAAGGTGCTTGTTCTTTGGGAACCTTCTTGAGTCTGGTGTAATGCACCCAGGTGGAGATCCCTTTGAGTTTTGCTGCTGCGTGTGTAGTAAGAAGAACCTGGAATGGCCCCTTCCACTTTTCTCTCAGCGGCTCGTCTTTCCACACGCGCAGGAGGACAAAGTCACCTGGTGAGATGCTATGAACCTCCGTATCTAGTGGCACCGGTTGTGCCTCTGTAACATGCCTAG